GGGGGGGGGGTGTCAGTCACAGTTGGCGCAGGCATAGGCAAACTGGTTTCGTGCCAGGCCCCCTGCCAATCACTAGTGACCAGTGTCACTGGGACTGAAAGTGATGGGAAATCCCAAATTTACAATCTGTCACCGTAACAGAAGAGGGAGAGATATAACCTTACTATTAGTACTGGGTACCATTGCAAGTGAGTATCCACAATTTTACAGATATTAGGAAGTGAAGTGATATGTTCCAATGGGGAAAACTGTTCTTCCTCGAGTAAAGAGGGATTTGGTTCCAAATGAGGGAAAGCTGGGTGCTAGGAGTGTGCACAAGCCTGGTGTTGGCTTCAGCACCATGAAAAAAACAAAACATCAGAGCATCTGGGACTTATGCAGTACCAGGTCATCCACAAAGCAACATCTTGGGGCCCAGCTACAACCTACATTCTTCTGCAATTTTTCACACAAGGGAGGATTACTTGTAGGCAGTTGGTGTCTGATGGACCTATGCCAGTACAGGCAATGCAATAGGATGGCTTCTCTGTGCCTAATCCTTATCAAAATCAATTGAATGGATTAGGGATGGGGAGGGGCTTAGGGGGTTGGGAGGGGAGCTGCTGCCATGACTAGGGCTGCCAATCCCTTTCTGAACCGGTGTGCATGAGCTCACAATTCTACAAATATATAACACCATCAAACCACAAAATAAATCACATAAAAAGCAAAACAGCTCTGTTAGTCACCGAAATGTACATCTTAAAAGAGAATAGTGCCTTGGTGGCGTCTGTTGTCATTTGTAATTTGGTTTAATAGATACCTTTAAGCCCACATAAATGGCACATGGCGGCAAAGACTGAAGATTCCATCTCGATGTTTCGGACGCCGGCGCTATACGCATTTTGCAGATACTCGCATTTTTCTTCTTTAGAAAATGAACACAGCGCCCCATCCAATCTCCCCTGACCTTAAAAATAAATTACTGTTACTGCTCGTGTACATATTTCATTACTTCAAACAAATACACAATTATCTTACATTATGTCAGTAATTTTTGCTCAGCGAGAGATGTTTTCCACTTTTTCATAGTACATAACAGGAAGGGGGACTCTCATAGAGGAAGTATTCTAACAAATGGTAATTGTGCACAGATTGCTCTGCTAAATTAAAGGGCTCCAACCAGTTATAAGAAACGTTACACACAACCCATTCTGCCTGTTGAGTGGAGTTTGGCTGAGGAAAATTCAACCATAGATCTTCACTGCTGTGTAGAAGCCTGAAGGGATAATTTCCCTCTGTGCCCCCAGCTATGACAGGCTACTTTCTAAAAGAGAACCTGATGGGTTGCCGCACTTCACATAATAGCCCCTTTTGTTTACTTAAGTGTACGTTAGAGCAACAACATATTCCATACATCTCTGGAAAAAAAAACATTCCCATGTTTTTTCCCCTGCTGCAGGTACAGACGAGTGCTGGTTGTTTAGCCAGAAATCCAGTGAGCTGACAAAGCTCAGTTTGCTTCAATAAATCCCAAGCAGTGTTAGCAACCCTGTCTGAGTTCACTTTGTTATGCACCAATTGGACTTTCATTTTTTGTTTATTTTATTTTTATACACGTTGGATATTTATTATATTTGTATTAAGGTTTTGATAACATTTCTCACTGAACAATTTACTAGCACAGGGTATTCTTGCATACACAAGTTAATATATCAATAACAATTGGAGCTGAAGTCTTAAGCACTGTACTCTTAACTGTGCTGAAAGAAGCAAAAAACTCAATAAGCCATCACCAGAGCATTGACTTTCTGGCAGTTCAGTCAGAAGCTTCAATAAGATAAAGAAAGCCTGAAAGCAAGCAGTGCCTCTTTACCCTATTGCATAGTGCTTTGGAACTCGCTTGTAATGTAACTTTTTTTCTTCACCGCCACAAGCCATTATCTTGTTATACAGTACAGAAGCTTCATACCTTCATAAAAGTCATATGTGCACATGGTGTGTCCAATAATAGTTGGGAAGTCGTTGATCTTATCGCTGCAACAGAGAATATTTTCTGCCAGTTCCTGGTGGAGCTCAGTGTTCCTGACCACCACTTTATCTAAAATCGCCTGCTCAAATTGCGGCCTGAAGAAGGCATCCACAGCAATGTCTGTGATTACTACAGTCCCGGGTGTAACGCCTGGGGGGGAAAAAAAGCATCAGTGCATTGTGGGTCAGTAATCTTCCAAGTAGAGGCATTAGTCAACCACAGCTGTTTATACAAAGGATCCTGGCTGTGTACAAAATGGCTTCCAATGCAAGAAAACTCTAAAGACAATGTAAATCTGTCCCATGAAATGAAATCCACCCCGCTGATGCCAAGCTTGGATTTTGCTCATAAGGGTTACCAAGAAAAGAGTACCTGGACAAAGTAGTTAAAGCTGAACTCCAGGAAACAGCAAAATATACAGATGAAATACATCTAAATAAAATAGTAAATACAATAATACTTTGATTCATTGTATTTACCTTCATGACACAGCTCATGTGACGTAAACAAGCCCAAGGGCCATTCAAAGAAAATAATTTCCACCGCTACATTTATTTTGGCATTATTTAAAATGCTTGAAGACATTTACTGATTGATCTTTTAGAAGTGGAACATTGTGGGTATAAACGTAGTTTTTATCCATTTCATATTATTAAAGTGGTTCTTTACTTGGATTGGGCGCTCTGTGCCTTTTAGTTTTAAGGAAATTATACCTAGCTATGAAAAAGAGAACACTCACCGATTCCCCCAGATGTCCCGATACGGATTATTGTGACATCCCGACATTTGGCGTGATGCAGTAGCTTAATGAGCTCATGTAGCATGATGGAGATGGAAGGGATACCCATGCCATGCTATAGAAAGAGAGTAACATTATACGGTTATAGAGCACATACAACTGTGCTGAAAGAACAAATTATATATTGAACACTGTGATAGAGGCTGAACAGCAGTGAGATAAATGCACCCATAAAAGCACTTTATTCCAAAAGACAAATGCCGCTTTCTGTAGCCTGACAAGTAAGAACCATGATAAACCCAGATTACCTGCAGCATGGCAGGTCTTCACCTCTCATATTTCTACTTGTGAATTCTTTAAGGTGAACCTGTCAGCAGTGATGGAACATTACAGAGCTGAAGAGGGCAAATAAGGAAGTTCTTTTTTACTATTTTTATTTAAGATCACGTTTCTGCAGAAGCAATGTGCTGACATAGTGCAAGCATGTACTGCCATGAGCAATTGAAATTCGATCAACAAAAATCCTTGTTTGCGCTGCCTGATCTCTATGTAGGGAATGCCTTGTCTACTTTAGCTCCAGTAGTTATAGGTAAAACATGGTGGACTAAAATCAGCTCCTATCTTCTTATACATTTTATATATACTCAATAGCTACATCTCCTTGCCTTCAGACTGTTCCTGTCCACCTGGGATTTGGGGATATTCCTGCCCTCCTCTGTGTCTCAGCATTCCATATAATATAAAATAAAGCACCTCACAATAGCCACTTTAGGTGTTCTGACCCAAGAATCTAAGCACAGAGATCTCATGATATAATAAGTGCCTATGAGATATAAGGAACTGTCAGATAGATAATAACCGAAAAGTAATAGGAACCCACCAGCATCTACTAGAAAGTTAAATTTTTGGGTGGATTTACTCTTTAAAGCAGAATCCCATTTAAGATAAAAACAGCTGAAAGAAGAATCCTGGACAAAAAAAAAAATGTTTATTCACCCTTGCAGTGGAGCTGCCCCCGCACTGCACAGGTTAAGTGCTCATTTTGGTCTAGGGAGGAAAGCAAAAAAAGTTACTCGATCCTCTGAGAAAGCTTGCTCTCAGACTAGCCCTTCCAGCCTTGCTCCCCCTCTGCTGTAGCGGTGTAAAGTCCTACAGTCATCATGTTCTATACACAGTGTATAGGACATTAGGATGCAGAGGGACATACCACCGCTACAGCGGAGGAAGACAGGTTGGAGGGAGCGCTGTCACAGCTGGCCAGCTCAGAGAATCGGGTGAGTATAACTTTGTTATTTTCCTCCATTGACCAAAAGGAGCCATTAACTCTTGCAGTACAGAGGTAGCCCCACGGCAAGGGTTGATTACATTTTTGTCCTGAGTTCTTCAAATAATATCCCAACGTGTGCACTTAGTTTTTTTTTTTTTCTATGACTGCAAGCTGCAGGAAAAGCTAGGACTGCTGCAAATCTCTTCAGCGTGTCTGTATGCAAATTTTTGCCAGGATTGGTGAGGTGTCCATGTTGATTTAATGTGCATTGTGGGTAATGGCTACTATGCAGACAGGATCAGGCAGAGGTTGGGCGTTGCAGGGCCAAATCTTTTTGGACCCTTTTTTATTCCTTCCAACCATGTATCCAGAAACATAAAAAGCAGACGCAGCTATACAGTTCCTTTGCATTACAGAAATGTTTGATACTAATGTAATATTATTATGAATAAAATATAGAAGTATATGAAGAATAGCTCGGTGGTCGCTGGCTGCTGCCGAGCTGTATAAAAGACTCACACTTATAGAAAGCACAGGTCCAGATTTGTACATGCTGTATCTGTCTGTCCCGGCACATATATCTGTGATGTTATTCCCATCTCCTTCCAGGCCCAGCTCCTTGTGCATGAATCTTGCATATTCCCTCATCCTGTTCGGGCTGCCACCGACACACACAAACTGCAACAAAACACAAGAGGTTAAAACTGCTCAACACCTACACAAAGGAAGGAACCATTAAAAATAAAGAGATTAGGTCTACATACAAATTGAGATATTGTTTTAAAATGACAAGTTGGTGGAATCACTAAATGTAACCAACTGCCACTATTCTAAATCAAAGAAGCTTAGCAGCTCTCTGGTGTTGCTTATGTGTTTAGATGAACCACTGAGATCTTGAGGAATGCTGAATTAAGTTTGACTTGCTTATAACATTACATCTATGTGTACAGCATTTTGCAGGAAACAGATCTAGAAAAGAAAGCTACCTGTGTATCATAGACAAGCATGCATATAGAAAACTAACACTGCACTACAGCGCCATCTACAGCTCAAAAGACTTAACAGTATATCAGCATAGGCTGCTGCATCTCCAAAATCTGGTACCTGACATGCTCCCAAATCATGCGTCTGTGGCCAAAACCATCAGTTGTGTTGTGCCAAATCACAAAGTGATGATACCTTTTGAGCTGCTGATATTAAGGTGCAATGAAAGTTCCCCCTCTTTGTTTTTCTGCTGCAATAACAAGACTTAATAGTCAGAGATTCTCAGCCACTATATTATATAGATAGATCTATCTATATCTATAGATAGATCTATCTATATATCCACCGGGTTAGAAAGTCTACTACCACCCCATCACAACAGTACTGGATTCTGGAGGCATAGCCCACTATACTCAAATAAGTCCCACTACCCATCTCCCAAATCACTGCACCAGGACCCTTACTCTCAAAAAGTATGTAGGTGGCATTTGTGCCAAAGAACTGCTGTGCCTTCAAATACCGCTAATGGTTGATGTAATCAGCACAACAGGACTTGTGTTGATTGCAACAATGGGCATCAAGGCTTTTGTGTACCACAGTGGGCTTTCCCCCTCAAATTCAGTGTTTTTGGAGGGTCTGTTTGGCTGGGCACACCATTACCCTGGGCTCAACCATTTCTTAAAACAGCCCAATGCACACTATCACAGCTTAGGTCAGGGCTGGACAAATCCCAGGAGCCAGGTAGCCAATGCTACTTAAAAATGACAGCTGGCTCCTAACTTTTGCTGGATCTTGGATTGGACAGATTGGCTCCTAAATTCTACATAAACTTGTCAACCCCTGGCTTAGGAATCGTGAACACACTTTGAGTGTTTGCCCCCCCATTTGTCTACCAAATACTCCACATTAAACCATCAGATCCAGAGATATAGGCACCTCTTGGGCACTTTATTGGTGGTGTAATGTAATCAACATCCTTACAGACCAGACAAAAGGAAAGGTTGGGGCTAACTTAAACTTTGATCGGAAAAGTTAAGATTCACTTAGAACTTCAGATGCCTTTATCTTTAAAACTAGCAACTGTTTTGACATACGTTTGATTGCATCTTTTACATTTTTTTTTACCATAGCCTTAGTTTCACTGTATTACATATTTAGTTTAAGATAAATATGGAGAAGAGCTTTGACTCTTCCCTGACCATCCTTCACATTCGCCTGAGGCTCACTACTGCTCAGCAAGGCCACCCATTACAGACATAGGCTAACAGCAAGACATAGAAGGTGGAAGAGAGACAGGCTGGCTGGCCAAATGAGTTGGTCAATACTTGCACATCACAGCACCCCAGTATTTGCAGAGGATGGGGTGCTCTGCTTAAAGGAGAACTAAGGGGAGAATGAAATGCGCCCACCTGCATAGTTAGAGCCGATGTGTGACACTGCAGCTTTAACACATCAGCTCTATTGAGCGAGAACTGAGCGATCCCAAACAACTGATCACTCAGCTCCCGATCTTGTCCCAGAGAGCCGTGAACATCAGTCACCACCTCCCCTGTATGGATTCCTGACAGGGGGGCCAGACAGGGGAGGGGGTGGACACAGCTGGCTCTAGAGAGGCAGAGCCAGCTGTCAATCAGGCAGTGGGATAATTCCTGACAATAATGTTGGAATCTTTCCTGGCTGCAGCGTGGCTCTGCCCCTTCAGCATATAGCGGGCCATATGTCCTCCTTGTGACCCAAAAAAGAACTAGACCCAAAAAAGGTTTGGCCATAGTTCTCTTTTAAGATCGCACAGCGCATACAAGCACCTGAAGCTGCCTATACTGCACTGTAAGCACCATTTTTTATTTTTACGATCACTACATGTGCACTTTAATCTCTTGCTGTGACAGGAAAATGTCTCGGTTTCCCAGGAAGGACAATGTCCTGGAATACAGCCGTCACTGGCACAGAGATACTATCCCAGTCTGAGCAATGCCTGATGTCTCCATTCGCTGCTACAGAAAACTCACAAACTAGTTCTGAATATTCAGCCTTAGCTGAACTGGGAATAAACAGCTCTGTGATATATTGGGGAGAAGACTGCAGCCTGCGTGCTGTTCTCTTTATTGTATTCTCCTGAATAATGCAAATTGTGTACATTAGGGTGACAAAAAAAGAAAAAGTTCCATATGCAGGAATAAAATGCTGAGTAATGAAGTCACTCCTCAGCGCTGTGCTACATCATATTTATTAAAGTCTAGAGTACACAGGCAAGATAAATGACTATTTCATACTCCAGCTCCTGAGAATACACGGCTCTACATTAGGTAGGAAATAAGGATGAACTGAGAGGTGTTTGTGACAGCAGACTGGAAGCAGAAACTTCTATCAAATGGCACAGGTAGGTTATAACTTATAGTACATCTAAACCCAAGAACAAAAATGTAATACATCGCAGCCTAGCAGTCCTCTGATAAGTTGACTGCATTAGTTTTCTTTTTTCAAAGGATTTTTTTACACCTGGTGATCCTGCCAGTAATACACTTATCCTAGGGTGACAACACTTACTCACTGTACCTAAGAAAGTGCAGTGTTGTCACCCTACAGAAATGTCACACTTTTCCATAACATAAGCAGGAGATTTTCTGTATTTCCAACTTCAGATGAGCTCAGGTTCGGACTGAACCTGGTCCAAACCCAAGCCCCTTTGAAGAAGGAAGTGCCATTCCACCCAATCAGCTGCTGCGGTATTCCCCACCCCACAGGTTCATGTAAACTAAGGGGCGGGATGCTTGTGCTGATGCCATTTACCGCATTTGGCCACATTATGAAAATGCAATTTACCAAATATAGGCATGTAGCCATACAAGGTCAATTACATCACTACATCCTGCCCCTTTGCTTATGTCAAGCTGTGGGTGGGAAATTACCCTCCAACAGCTAATTGGGCGGCACAGAAGGGAAAGGGTTACCTTCTATATTTGGAGGAGTTTAGGTTCAGTCCGAACCCGAGCTCATCTCTATTCCTAACACTTCCCAATAACACTGCAGAGTGCACAGTAGACTAGATTTTTGGACAGGATCAACATACTTTTTTGCACTTATTGAACATGTATAGCAAAAATGTTTTGAATGCAAGGAGTACACACAAAAGAAGCACTACTCCTCCACGGCTCAGGGAAGTAATGAGAGGGGTGCTTGTTGCTGGGAGCATGTCTTCGCTTCAATATGAGCCCATACAAAAACAGCAGAAAAGCCACACACCGGATTCCGCTGGACTAGTTTACTAAAACCTGTACATCATCACCGGTGTCCCAACCACCCTGACGCGTTTCACCCAGTCATGCGCTTAGTCATACAGATGATGGATGAAACGTGTCAGTAGGGAAGACCTTGGATGGGACACCAGTGATGTGGTACAAGTCTCAATAAACTATTCCAGTGGAATCTGGTGTGCGATCAGCTTTTCTTCTGTTTGTATGGATTAAAATGCTTTCAATGGTTTATTTTTCAGACTACATGGTAGTAAATGAGAGAATTCCCTTTTTAAGTGTCCACGGGAAGAATAGTTCTTTTGAACCATAACGGTTCTTTTGATGACAGTTATTAAAGACTCGGCTACCTGACTCCTGACCAAGTTGATCTCTCCATTTAGATGGAAACTATTTTTCGGGTTACATGTACACCTGTGTATTCACAGAACAGATACCTTACAGTGCCTGCAAGCCAGTCCAGCTGCAGAGTTCCTGGATGCCCACAATCCTAGGGATACCACTGTATGCAAATATTGACTAGTGTTCGGGTAAAGAAATATGGTGGCCCTGCCCCCTCCCACCTTCTGCTCTACAGTACTGGCTATGGGATCAGCCCATCATAGCGATGGTCCAATAGAGCCGAATTCTGGCCTTTCTCTGGCTTTCCTGATCTGCATACTTGTTTCAGCTCAGTGACTCCAAAACTTCTGCAAGCAGCGAGTTGCTTACAAACCAGGCATCTAACATTATTAGAAAGGGGTCATCAATGGTAGCCTGCATATGTATTTTTATTAGGTGCCCATTTGCACTTCCACATTGACCCAACGTGTGGTAACGCACGTAATATGTAATACAGCGCCATTCATTTTGAATGGCACCCGAATGCAGCAAGGCAATGTACCTGTGTCTTTGCATTAAAAAAAGGGGGACATGCTTTATTTCAGCATTGGCCACCCATTATTTTTAATGGGCTGCCCTAACACAATGCAGGTTAGCACATGTCACAACGCACATTAACACAACTGAGTATATGGGCCCTAAAAGATGAGCAGCATTGCCAAATGTCACCAGTAGGGGGCACTGCTGATGTAGTCTGTAATCCTAGCACCAGGTTCCTATTACATGGAGTGTGCTGCAAGAGGGAGTCAAAAACAAAAAGATTAACATTTTCCATGGAAATGCCAGAATTTTACAAAGCTTGTCGTACACCTAAACTAGCCAAAAGTAAACGGTTAAGGGATGGGTTACCTTGACATCTCCAAACATCAGGGGGAGGTCATGGGTCTTTGTTCCCAGGTCAAAGTGGTAGAGAATGTCCTCAGGTAACAGGTCCAAATGGGGGTTTTTAACATGCACAAAGCCATTGCTGTTAGTAAATAAAGACAAGATCAAATAGTCAAAATATACATTTCCAGTTCTGTAAAATGGAATCTAATACTATTTCCCCCAGCAGTGCTCTAGAATACTGGTTAATTAGTAACAATGTAAACATTAACAAAAGCTGGAATACTTAGACGTTACATCTTAAGTGCCAAAACAAATTAATGAATTGCAGAATATTTACAGTAAACGTTTACAGACATTATAGAGTATTTGTACTGAGCACGGATTTAATATGTTGCCGACAGTACACATGCGGTGGCTGCATTCATTTTCATCTGTTCAGGCCGAGAACATTTTCAACAAAAACATTTTACAGAAAATTCCTGATCCTGCCAGAAATCCCGACATCACTGACAATGTTTGCAGCCTTCCCAGCTATAATCTTTAAACTACAAAACGAATGCCCTCTGTGTAATGGAGACAAGGAGAGGGGTGTTCTGTAGACCTCTCCTAAGGTGACAATACTGCACCTCCTTAGATGCAGTGTAGTGAGTGTAGTGAGTGAGCATTTGTTGTTTGCCGCTGATAGTTCTTGATCATTCAGACCACTCAGACCTCCTTTTATTGCCTGTGCCACTTATTACTGCAGGTAGAACTTACAAGTCCACCAACAATCACAAACTTGCAGCCTTTATTCAGAAGCAAGCAAAGTCCCTGAAAGTAAACGTCCACCTAAATATCCAATATATTTAACAAATGTGAGATCGTGTGCACTGCACAACGGCACAGTCAGTTATGGATATCAAAATAAAGCAGAAGTCAATAGAAAAGCACCAGCTGCAACCACAACCAGACGTATATTCACATGAATATTTAAACAGTATATTTTCTGCTACAAGTTGCACAAAATAATTCCAACATGTATAATCAAAGAAAGTGCATGGTGAACCCCCATGGGCCAATAAATGGCCAGTCCACCCAATCGATAGGTCCGTTTTACCAATTTGTGGTGGATGATGACAAGTTTAACCGCATGGCAGGTTTTTATCTCGGGGGCTCATTCTCTGCATGGAGTTTCTGAGTTCTGCTGTGGCCATTAAGGACCCACCTCTCTCCCTGTTGGATTTTTTTTATTGTATATCATTGAGAATGCAAGATGAGGTGCATGGACACAAATGTGAGAGAAAACACCTGGAGCTTCCAGGGGGACAAGAGAAGTGTCAGGAATTATAGCTTGGAGATGTCCCTATTGGAGTAACCAAGATATACAAGAAGCCCCATTTGAGTCCCCAAGAGATCAAAAATATTGTCAGGTGTCAAAGTGACACTAAACTCAGGAGTTAAATCTTAAAAATACATTCAAGTACCTTAACTATTAACAAAAATGTATCTTATTTGTGTATCACTCAGCTCAGATCCTCAAATCATCTCTGAATTGGTGCCGACACTGTCCTTCCTTCTGGAGGGTGGCTACTTTTGTTTCCCATGGTCCCTGTGTGTGTTGTAAAGTAGTCACCGCTCCAAGCTCACTCCCGTGATGGACTACAATCTCATGTTTAGTTTACTAATTTGTATTGAGTGTAGTCCATCACGGGAGTGAGCTCAGAATTGTGGCTACTTTACTATGGCAGTGGCATAGTGGTTAGAACTGCTGTCTTCAAGCACAAAGTATCCCAGGTTCAAATCCCAGTCAGGACACTATCTGCAAGAAGTTTGCATGTTCTCCCTGTGCTTGTATGGGTTTCTTCCCACAATCTAAAGACATGCTGGTAGGTGAATTGTCTCCTGTCTAAATTGTCCCTTGCGTGTATGCATGTGAGATAGGAACCTTAGATTGTAAGCTCCTTGAGGACAGGGACTGATGTGAATGTGCACTAAGTAGAGTGCTGTGTAAATTGTTGGTACTTTATAAAATACCAATAATATTAATAATAATACTACTACACACACGAGGACCATGGGGAACAAAAGTAGCACCCCTCTAGGAAGGACAGTGTCAGCACCAATTCAGAGATGATTTGAGGATCTACAGCCGAATGATACACAAATATGTTACATGTCTATTAATAGTTAAAAAGGTACCTGAATACATTTAAAGTGACATTAAAGTCAAATTTTGTTTCCCTCCCCCCCATGTTAATGTCAGCACTTACCTTAAATGATGTATTTTATTCCGATCTTCTTCTTTCCCCATGTTTTCCTCTGTCCCTCCAGCGGTGCGGCGGCTCTCCGATCCCGCGCTGACACCTCTCTGCTTGCAGGCACTTCCGATCCAGCGGTGTCTGCAGGCAGATGCACCCGTCCATGGACTTACCTTGCGTCTCTGCTCATCTCCCGGCCGAGAATCCGAACTGCGCATGCACCCGCCCCAAGATCCTTTGCGGCCGTACGAGCAGCTCCTGATGCTCGGCGCGGGAGCGCGCAAAGAAAAAGATGTAAGTTTAAACCGCTGTTTTAGCGGGTTTTTTTATTTTTTTTTAAACTGTTTGGCTGTATCTACTGCCTGATAGCAGTAGATATAGGCAAAAAAACGGGAGGGTTTAGAACCCCTTTAAGATTTAACTCCTGAGTTTAGTATCACTTTAACGCTCCACCATCCACCAACAATTGGCAGCAGTTTTTGGTTGGACTGACCCTTTAATTTCCTCTTTGTTCTACTCTATTCAGCGCTAGCAGTTCAGATCATCTCATTGTTAAAGATGGTCAAAGTCTTAAATAAAATAAAAATCAAGTATCAGACAATGTCTGGCCACCCCATAAGAAAGAATGATGGACAATCTATTTGACCTGTCATTGGTTGAGAAGAGTGCGTGGTTTGCCGCTTGGTTACAGCACTTCTCCTTTATTAGGTTTTTCAGATTGTAGAATTTTCTTCATTTTTCAGTATCAGAGGTATCTGCATGAATAATACAGACATTATCCACTACTAGCATTATGTATATTGGAAGACAAGCAGAGAGGCAGATAGATGAAGCAGCAGCTTACTAGTGTGTAATCAGAAGTCTGCATAGAGAAAAAAGGACAGACATTTCTCAAGGCAGATTAAACCGCATCAGCTCATATTTATTCTATATTCCCTGAATGTTTCCGCACTGCACACTTACTTTTCATAATTGTCCCTCTCAGGCAAGTTGGAAGTGCTGCTATCTACTATGATTGGAGCCATCACTTATCTCCAGAGCCGCCTTGCTCCTTCTGCAGTATTCTGCCTTAAAGTGCCTTCTCCCTGCACTGCTAATACGAACCCTTGCTCTGACATCATCAGTTGACTTGTCTTATTAAGGGAGCGTGGCGTCACATGGGGTATGTCGCATTAGGGCTCTTGGTTGGTTGGACAGGCGGAGGCGTTGTCTCTGATTGTTTAACTACCTCCTGGTTATTGATTAGTATACTCTGTCTTATTTGAATGCTTGACATTCCTAGGCTTGTGGAAACAAAAACGTTATGGAAATGATTAACTACAATGCATCTTAAGAATAGCCATGTGATGAATCATATGCAGGTTTAACGCTCCTTATGTACACATTTCTTTGTTTTATCTGCACCCATTGCGTGCGATGTCTCAGCTTTTTCTGTTTCGGTGCAGTTTAGTTTCTGGCCACTAGGTGTCACCCGGGAGCGCCATTTCTATTGCTGCCATAGGACATGCTGGCAAAGTGCTGTCACATTTCAGGTGAGAATGGTAATTATTTCAGGATGACATGATCAGCATTTGAATAAATGGCATTGATGTGAAATTATAATAATTCCACCTAAGAGATGCAATTAAGTGGACACAAAAAAGCATATCTGGATGGTCAAGTATGGATTAAGAAGACAGGTAGGCAGCTGTATAATATGGTCTAAAATAGTGATACAGAGATGATTCAGGTCATAGAGGCAGGCTTTCCATTCAGATAGAGAGTGCTGCGGTATAACTGCAGGGGACAGCCATTGACAAGAAATAAATTGGCTTCCAGGCAAGACAGAGGCTTTTATTACATGACATAATGTACCTCTTTCCTGGCTTCTTTCTCTTTGGTCCATGGCATGAGGCTGACGGATATACACTAACTGGCCACTTTATTAGGTACACCTGTTCAACTGCTCGTTAATGCAAATATCTAATCAGACAGTCACATGGCAGCAACCTAATTTAGGAATGTAGACATGGTCAAGATGATCTGCTGAAGTTCAAAGCGAGCTTCAGAATGGGGAAGAAAGGGGATTTAACATTATATTAACCCCTTCATGACTGAGCTTGTTTTTAGTTTCTATTCGTAAATGACTGACACACTTTTGACATTTTTGCTGTGTGATTCTTCCACGTCAGTAATATACTTTCTTACAAAGTGCACCCACACATATTATATATTGTTTTTTAGAGGACAGATAGGGCTACATATTTATATCACATATGTGTGTCTAACGCCTCACTTAGGACAAATAAAATATAAAAAAAGAGGAAAAAATGTAAAAAAAAAAACACTTTTTCCCCAGTTTTGATTTGTAGTATTTTTTTACAAAACCAGCACAGCTAAAAAAAATGCAATAAATACATTCATTTATTTGTCCCTTATTTTTTTTTTTTTACACTTATTTATTAATTTTTTTACACTTTTCACTATTTTTTTTAACTTAAAAATGTTATTTTATTTATTTAATTATATCAAACATTCATTGTGAATTAATCTCACTATTACTGCTTAATAAATTAATACATTTTTGGTTATTATCAGGCTGCTTCAAACTTCAGAACAGCCGATAATAATTTAGTGACACTGATCCTGCAGCAGTTCAGGATTCAGCTGTCTGAATCTGATGGTTGTTCCAACAACCATCAGAAAACTGAAACATCCTTCTTTCAGGAATAGATACATTATGTATCTATTCCTGAAAGTGAAAGAAAAAAAAAGCCAGTATAGCTTGAGAGAGATATCTCTCGATCTATACGAGCTGTCAGAATGCCGGCAAAAGCCAGCATGTGTGCCCACTCTGCTTTGATATTAAGATATTAAGGTGTCTGAAAAAGGTTAACCCTTTCATTAATGGATGCCTCTAAACTGAGGCATACATTAATGAATGGTAACCGCTGATTCTCAGCGGTTAGCAGCCTTCTAGTGCAGCAAATAACTCGGCACGTACAGTGTACGTGACGAGTCATTTGGTCCCTTTGTGGCGGGACGTACAGTGTACGTCTCCCGTCACGAAGGGGTTAAAGTCTAAATGTATTTTAAAATGCATTTCAGATGCTGATTAAATAACTTACCCTGGATGCTGCGTCTCAATGTTTAAAAGTTTTAGTGTCTTGCAGAATCAGCTGGTCCTCTGGGTTCTCTCATATCCTGTTTTAGGGTGGCTCCTTTCCCTTGCATGATGCTATGGAGTAACCCTTGTGTATGCTAGTAAAGCTCTGTGTGTCACCACAAACACATAAACACAGCAGGACAAATCACTCCCTGCTCTTTGCTCCTGCCTTCTCCAAACTAGCAGATGAACAACTACTGGAGACTATGCTGTCGCATGTGGTCTTGTACTGAGCAGGAATTTCAGGGAAGCAGATCTCAGAGAGTTGGAGCTGTTTGGAAACATGATGACTGTAAGTGTTTGGGTAAAAATGAAAAAAGAAATACTTTACTGGGCAATGTATATTCATTTGATCTGGATTTATCATTGGGAAAAAAAAGTTTGAGAGTTTAATACTACTTCAAGTGACTCTGAATGTGGCATGGTTGTTGGTCCCAATTAGCTAGTCTGAGTATTTCAGAAACTGCTGATCTACTGAGAATTTGGATGCACAATTATCTCTGGTGTTTACAGACAATGGTCTGAAATATTTTCTTGGCACACTTTTTGGGCCTCTTAGTACCAACTGAGCATCGTTCAGATGCCACAGCCCACCTGAGTATTGTTGCTGACCATGTCAATCCCTCTATGACCACAGTGTTCTCATCTTCTGATGGCTACTTCAAGCAGGATAACGCTCCTTGTCACAAAGCTCACATCATCTCAAACTGGTTTCTTGAACATGATAATGAGATAACCGGACTCAAATGGTCTCCATAGTCATCAGATCTCAACCCAATAGAGAACGTATGGGATGTGGTGGAACAGGAGATTCGCATCGTGGATGTGCAGCCGACATATCTGCAGCAACTGTGTGATTCTATCATGTCAGTGTGGACCAAACTCTCTAAGGAATGTTTCCAGCACCTTGTTCAACCTATGCCATGAAGAATGAAGGCAGTTCTGAAGACTAAGGGGGGTCCAACCCTCTACTAGCAAGGTGGCCAGTGAGTGTAGATTGACGATGAAAGATTGGGGTGGAGACATATACAACTCACCCCACACATGTATTTATTTAAAGCACTTATGGCTTGTGTACACAACATTTGTGCTTTGATGTTGGTTTGTGAATTATTTTTGACACAAGTGGAATGTTTAAATGTTGAATGAGATCTCTTGGAGCAGAGTTTACTTGTGATGTTGTAGTACAGGGGTAGATAACCTCAGCACTCCAGCTGTTGTACATGAGGCAATGCAGGACTGCAATCCACAGCAGCAGTGCCAAGGTTGCCTACCCCTGTTGTAGTGCTTCTATCATTCCTCTCCTTGTTTTGCTCCCATTCAAATTAGGTTAACCACCTGCCGTCCGGTCATTGTAATTAAACGGCCGGATGGCTCACTCTTGTCGGCAGGTCTGCGTTGATAAATGTCCTTTCCTGATCGCATGCGCCCCACCCAGTGGTGTATTATGGTTTTGTGCTGCCCTGGGCAACCCCGCCCATATAATAGATCCCTGCACACATGTGTATATATAATAGAATCCCACACAAACTATATATATATATGTTGGTCACCGTTCTGAGTAGGCTTGAGCCAACTTGTTTCCCACCAAGCCCACCCGCATCACTATATGTCAGGAGAGCATGGGGAAGGTAAATCCTGAGCACATGTCCGTGGCATGTTGGCACCTACTGTACTTATGCACTGCACTATCGTTCTGCAGCAAATAAACACATAGTTTCCTGTGCATTACTGCAACACCATAGTGTGAAGCCAGTCTTTTTGAACCCCTTGGCATGCATGGTTTCCACTTAATTTACTCAGCGCTGAAAAGAAGAAGTATAAAATCTGATAGAAAAACAAAGGTGAAGTGTCCTTTAAAGCAGACCTATCTTTAAAATGCACACTTCATATGAATTAACATAGATCACACGTCAGCATTGCCCAATCACATTATGATTTTGACAAAAAATATGAAATAATGTCACATACAGCCTAAGCAAAGATGATTTCTGTCTCTTTATACCAGGTGCATTCTTGGTGTTTCACATCATTAGAGCCTGCAGAGAGTCTATTGTCTTCCATCCGGCAGACCTTATTAGTAAGACAATAGGATCAACAGAAAGCAAAGCATCCATATGTATTGAGCAAATGTGTACATAATAAGTGTACACAAGATGCTTGTAAAACATTAGCACACATTGTTACAATAATTCACATCTATATCTGAAGAACATTAAAAAGGATATGGTCCGTCTTTAGGGGGGCCACCTCACCCCTTTAAAACCAAACACATATAAACTGCACAGATTGATGAAAATGGTAATTAGATTCACTTAGTGCCTAAAGCTGGCCATACACCTATAGATTATCTGCAGATTTTCTATGGTCAGATGGGAAAAGTGCAACAGATTCCTCCGTCTACGCTAAACTGTGTGGATGGAGGAATCTCCCACTGGGCCAAGTTTCAGTATCTTACTTGTCAGTCCCGCTGGCTCTCAAAATACCTGAGCAATTGGATTGGTTGCAGGCATTGTTTAGGTGTTTTAAGAGCCAGCTAGGCCGACTAACAAGATACTGAAGCTTGGTCCAGTGAAAGATTCCTCCATCCACACAGTTTAGCGTAGACGGAGGAATCAGTTGCACTTTTCCCATCTGACCATAGAAAATCTGCAGATAATCTATAGGTGTATGGCCGGCTTTATGGTGCATTTAATTAGCAGCAGAGCCTGTGTGTGATCCGTAGGCAGTCCTAGTCCTTTCTAATGCTGGAATAGCATTGGCAGCATATAGCAATGTATACTTCCTAAACTGTAATAAAGCCCTCATTGTCATTATATACATTTTCCTGGCATGTATACTTTTTCCACACATCCCACAATGTTAATGTAGCCATCTCGCCTGACCAGCACAGGGCATGAGGAGGGACGTTTCAAGAGATTTGTGAAATCTAGGT